ATGGGGCAGCCGCCCCGGACCCCGTACTTAAAAAAGCCCTGCGCATGCGCCGTGGCAAAGGGGGGGCCCCGCGGAGTTATGCTGCCCGGGGCCCCGCAAAACAGTCATCTGCCCCTGCTCAGGGGAAAGGGAATCACTCATCTATTTGTGTTGATGTTGTGTGCAGAAGTTTGCAAAAACACTTCACAGATGTGAGACACCATTTAGAATCTCATAAAGGCATCTGAGAGAGCTTTGAATTTATAGCCTCTCAGCATCACTTTAGTGGCGGAAATGCAGAACTGCAGTGTAATCACCCATTGCCACAAACACAAAACTGCAGCACTGAACGGGAAACTCTCATTCCATCTCATATATTATAAGTTTGTGGGTGGGGATCTTTTCTTGTGTGGCTGGTACTAGTAACCCCTGGAGAAAGCCAGGCAAAGATGAGCAGGCAGGTAAATTTCTAAACATGGTTTACAACTATATATATATAGCAAAAAAATAGGAAAAAAAATGAGACAAAACAAGGTAGCAGTGTCTGAGACTACGTCTAGACTGCCGCTTTTTGTTGCAAAAAGGTATGCAAATTGTACTCCGCAATTTGCGTACCTTTTTTTGATTTTTTTCGAAAGAGGCTTTTCCAAAATTTGGCCCATCTACACTGGACCAAATTTTGGAAAACCTCCTCTTTTGGGAGAGCCCTTCTTCCTCATGAAACAAGCAAAAAATGTCAGAAGAGCAGACGCGTTCCCTGGATGCAGCAAAATACTCTGTAGTCTAGACATAGCCTGACTGAAGGAAGCAGAAACGGGTGTATAACGTAGGTTTTCAGCCCACCGGCAAAGTCAATTTAGACCTCTGAAAGGGTCAGACCTCCAAAGTAACTTGACAGGACTTATTGAAGGACCTCTAGGAAAATAGTGCTTGGACTTACGTGTGGTCATTCAATCCATCTTTCTTTTAGGATGGAAAATATGTGGGAGAGGTCATATTTTTTATTGGACCAACTTCTGTTGGCAAAAGAGCTTTCTGAAAGAGCAGCTCTGTGTAAGATTGGGAGCTTGTCTCTCTTGCTCCACAGAAGTTGGTCCAATAAAAGATATTACCTCACCCACTTTGATTCTCTAATATCCTGAGACCAGCATGACTACAACAACTCTGCCTTTTTTTATGATGTCAGTTTAAACAAAATGCACAGATTTTAATTAAACTTTAACCTGACCCTTCTTCCTTCACACATGCTCTGGAAAATATGCTCCAACCTAGAGGTCTCATGTCTACAGCCACAGTGTTATGGGTATATAAGGCTAAAATGTTATTTAGTTTATCATATTACATCAGTGTAGCATCCACACATAGGCTATGCATTGTCTGGAAACCCAGCACTGTGGTAATCAGGCAATATAGTAATCAGACCAAATCCAAATAATAAGACCCGTCCACAGTAACTGCTTTCATGAATAAATTAATATACCATTTAATTTCATCTTTAATATAAAAAAAATCCTTTTCTAGAGCAATGTCATTGTATGACAGATACTGCTTACTTTGGCCCACTGTCCCCTATTTATGTCTTTGCCTGGCCAAGAGATTATGGTCTTTCCTCTTTGATATGGACCTCATCCCACCCTCATCCTCCTGTATGATACTGCAATATACTCTAACCTTGGGTATCCTTGAATGCCACGTGCCTACTTCAGCTATGGCAGAAAACAGTTGCTTGACTTTTAGGTAGTATCTGTAATCCAGGTTCTCCCATCTGACATTTCTGAGCGTAACTATGTTCATTTATGGCTCAATTCAGAAAGGGATTTAGGCATGTGCCTCAACTTTAAGCATAAGATTGGTTCATCTGAAGATGCACTCAGTTAAAACCCATGTACATCTGGAATAACTTTGTTTTTTCTGGAGTGACTGGATTTACACTGGCATAACTGAGAGCAGATTTATGTTTCTATGGCTAAAAGACCATAACCTTGGTGTTGTGCAGTCTGCTTTATGCCATTTTGACAGTGCAAAGCAGCTCATAAACCAGCATCACTGGCCAGAGGAGGATTCCCCCAGAAAATAATGCTCAGCAGCACTGGGGGCAGGGAGATGAGGGAGGTGTCTCTACATTTGGGCAATCCTCAACTGCCAAATCAGCCCCATGGAGCAAAATAGCCAGGCATAATCTAGTTGCCTTTCCCTGGTATACACCAGGGATCAGTCAAGCAACTGGTCAGGTGGAGGACTGGACACATGCAATCTCACTCTACTCACCCCACAGCTGTTTCTACTGCAGTGCAGACTCAGGTCAGGCTCTAGGCAAATATAGTGACTAAGTCATACATTCTTTCTTAAAACTGTACAGTCTTCCCATTTGAGTCCTGAACTCTTTGCATTTAAGGATAAAGTGGACCAATGGTTGGGATGCTATCTTAGAATACAGAGCCTCACAATAATGTCTCTGATTTGCCACTGATTTCCTTTGGGGTCTAGGGCAGTCTCTTTTGGTCCATCTGTAATATGAAGATGCTGCTATTGCCCAACCTCACAAAGCTGTTGTGAGGCTAAACAGAGGGGAAAAAAACTATTTCACTAAGAGGGTGGTAAAGCATTGAAATGATTTCCTAGAGAAAGGGTAGAATTCCATCTTTAGAGCATTTAATGCCAGGCTTGATAAAGTCCTGGTTGGAATGATTTAGCTGGGGTTGGTTCTGCTTTGAGCAGGGAGCAGGAGTAGATGACCTCCTGAGGTTTCTTCCTGTCCTAATCTTCTATGATTCTATACCTTGAATCTTATATGATTCTCAGATATTAAGGTAATGGGGTCATATCAGTACCTTAACTAGGTAGACTTATTCTAGAAACACTCTATTGCACCCAATAACTATTTGTAGCTTCTTTTTTATAAACAATACCATCTAATTAAAATGTTCAAGAGAAATATTTGAAATTTACATGCATAGTTATATAGGTTGCTTACAGGGAAAATGGCGATCATAATAAAACGGAGAGTTTTTTTTAATAACAGATTAGCATTTAATGTATTTTACTAGAATATATATGCTTTGTATGCATACTTGCTAAACCAAGCTATTTTACTTTATGATGTTTATGATTACTTGATGATACCTTAGCAGCTTTCTGTACAGAGTGTGGTATGAGTGGATCAGGAAGTCATGCGACTAGGATGCCACCTTGTGGTGTACTAAAATAATATTTTTATCAATAAACACCCCTTTAGAGTAGAGTGTAATAATATACAATTTATTATCACATATACAGAAGCAAATAAAAATAATGGGTATCTTGGCACCTATGTACAGTCAAAAATGCCATGTCTGGATAACCACTTCATTTAATGTATGTCCTTTTCGTGTTCATACAAAGTTGTGTATGAAATCAAATAGAACATATCTTCAGCAAAAAGCTTTAAGCATCCATCATCTAAATATTTAATTGTCATTATCATGGAAACTTATATGGATAATCAGTCAAAAAAATCTATGTTAACATGGAATTAATGTTGAAAATATGTACCAAAGATCTAAAGGGAGAGGAAATTAATAGAATGGTGTAACTTCAAATAAAAAGCCAACCAAACAAAAGAAAAAAACAAAACCCTGAATTCTAGGAAACTTATAACAAAGGCCCCATTTAACAGCTTCTACCTCCAATCCCCATACATTGGAATATATGTATAATAAGTGCTAATGTATCTGTGCAAAATCTAGGCCAGATTTTCAACCACTGAATTAAATAGAGCTATGCAGATTTACATCACCTGTTTACATGTATTTCTTAACTCTACTTTCATATCCCCACCATCCTTTGCACCCATCAGCTACAAGGATTTCCACAATATCTACTATACAAGCTTTGGAGGGAGAGAACATTTGAAATGATACATTTTAAAATGTCTGAAAATACTCATAAAATATTTCTATACATAATCGCCTTTCAGCTTTAAGGTCCAATATTTCAAAATGTATCAGGATTAGAAGCAAGTACTGTGTACCTCATTTGAACGCTTGGAATCTACTGTTTCAATTAGTATAAAACCTTCATCTTCTACAAGGTAGCAATATCTGCATGCTAAACAACATAACCATATGATCAATTTATTTAATCACTGCTTGCCTTCTGGGCTCTCTGGTCAATTATCCACTCCTTCTAGGACCTATTCCAACATTCCAGTGACATGATTCATTCATTTAAAACAAACAAACCAAAAACATGCCAGAGCAATGTTTGTTTCCTTCCCTTATCATCAAATGTGGAATTTCCTCTCAGAATCACATTGGCCCAAGACTGGTCTATTGGTCTATTCATGCCTAGGCTAGTAACAAGTTTAAAGTGTGATACTCTGTAACTCATTAATGCTAGAAACAGACACTTTACACCAGTGTTTTTCAACCAGTGATACAAGTCCCCTTAAGGGTACTCAAGAGAAGTCTGGGGGTACGTCAAGAAAACTGAACTTTGGAGAAAACTGACCTTTTGTTTTAAGTTTTACAGTGCTTTGTTATTTTTGTACTTTTTACACCCAAAAATTTCATTGCCCACCTGGCTACGATTAAGTGGGTTTAAGCAAATGTATTGGAATGGTAGAAAAAATTGTGTATGTCTGAAAACTGTAGGTACTGGTGGTACTTATTTATTTATTTGAAAAAAGGGGTACTTTATTTAAAAAAAAAGGTTGAGAAACACTGCTTTATACCATTAGAAAGGTAAGAATCCCACTTGAGGCATGTATTTCTAGCCCTAGTAGTAAAATACAAATTATCTTACCTAGAAATTTCATTATTTATGCATGCAAAAGATACTTGGGTTCGTTTGTTTTTTTACAAGACTCTAAAGCTTTTTTGTTATGGTTTTTCTCTCTTTGATGCCTGTAAAACTGGACTCTTAGCACTAAGGTACAAAGACTTTATCTTTATCACTAGACGTATGAAAGTTATATTAATAAAAAATTAAGCTCAAACTTTTAACATTTCTACCCTAGTTATTCTTTAAAATACACAGCATACCATATGCTTACTCTACTGAGCGCTCAGTCATCAGATGGAAATTACTTCAACCACTTCTGAAACCATTATTATTCTGAAGCCATTATTCCCTGTAGTGGAAAACGGGAACAAACATGTCATCATTTCATTAGTCATTTTGCACTGAGAGCTGATGGAGAGAGTGGAAGAGGGGGACCACCTTGCAATCTCTGATGTTACAAAGAGGACATCCTAATAGATGTTATAGGAGGACAATGCAGGTTACCATACCTGAAAGCAGGAAGCATCCAATATAAAAAGAGCAACATGGGGTAATAGCTGAAAGCCATATACTTTTTGCTGCAACCAGACCCTTTTACTGCTTGCACCTGTTTTCTGGGGTAAAAGAGTGAAGGAGATCTCAGGTAGGATATAAAAGGTTAATTGGTTAACCGGTAAACATCACCCTAAACCCTGTGAAATTCAAATCCTCTCTCACACACAGCTGCTGTATTTTCAACAGTTTTGATCTGTTACCGCTTAAATTGTGGAAGTGGGAACAGCTCAACATCTTTAACTGGACACACAAATTGTAACATTAGTTATCCCAATCTAGTGTGCTAATAATGCCAATCTTTAGACTCAGGTTTTTAAAAAGGTCAGATTTTCCTGGCAACTGGCAAATCCATAAAGGGCCCGGGAACAAGAAGGAAGTTTCTGCTCCTAGCCCCACTGCAGTGAATCTCACCAATCCAAGTCCACTTGCTGCCAGGGCTGGATGCTGGGAACAAGGTTTCCCTGCTGTGTGACAGTAACGAGGGGAAGTGATTCCTAGGAACCACCATGTAATATGACAGAGACTCAGGGTCATGACACCCCAGGGGAGCAGTGGGCTGGAGGATGCCTGGCAAAAATGCCAGGCACCTGAAAGTGACTCCAGGCAAAGGGACACACTCTGATAGAGGAATCAGGGCCAGGCTGGCACAATCAGGAGGGTTTCTAGTTTGTGGGTGAAGAAGACCCTCTTCCAGGCCTGGCACCCACCACGCTGTGTATCTATAAGAGCAGTGTAGGGCATACCTGGGCCCACTGTGCATCTCTCCCTGCCAGTAGTGCCACACATGTGACGTCTGAACCCGGCCCTTTAGGGCTACGGTGCTTTGCTGTAAGGGTTGCGAAAGATGTAGCTGGTTGTCACCCAACCACAAGAAAAAAAAATTCCTTCCCTGACCGGGAATCGAACCCGGGCCGCGGCGGTGAGAGCGCCGAATCCTAACCACTAGACCACCAGGGAACTGTTGAGCAATTTTACCCACGTGCTCTATAAGTACACACAAGCGCGTTCCACCCATTCTGTACGTAGCTCCGTCCTTCCTGCCTTCCGAGGTCCAGACTCCGACTTCGTAACCCCGCCTACTTCCTTAAAACCCGTTCATCTCGACACGTAGCCACGCCCCGTTTACCCTTTGTAGCACGCGGCCGACTTCACCCCTTTCATTGGCTTACAGCGAGGGAGCGAAAGAGAGTCAGTTCCGGCCCGCGCAGGCTGGGCTTGGGGGCGGGGGCGGGGGCGGGAGGACTGCGATTGACAGGCTGCGAGTGCAGCCACTTGGTGGCGCTGCGGAGCAGGTGGCGGATCCCGGGGAGCTGCGCGTGGGTGGGAGACGCTGCGCCTCTGCCCTGCCTTGGTGCGGGGTGAGAGCTGGGAGAGCTTGGTGCGTGCTGCTCTCGCCCTGGGGCGCTAATCCGTGCGAGGCGGCTCTCCGTGAAAAGACTCTAGAGGGTGAAAAATGGGTTTTTCCTCCCCCCACCTCCTTGTGTTTGCTCAGCATGTGATGATTAATTGTCTGGTCTTAGTTTGTTGCTGCTTCAGTGTAATCTGGCAGCTTTGCCAGTGTTGAGAGAGAGAAGGGGAAAACATGTTTACAAATTACCTAAAATTAGCTTAATTTAAAAAAAAGTCATTCTGATTGCCCTTTTTAAAAACAACTACAGTGTTACTTATCACGAGTGTAGTGGTAAACACTTGGCAGTGTTTCTGTTTGGCCAGGTGTATTGTATGGGATAGTTTATCACTCCATTTAGAAACTATTGTGTATTATTCCTCTGTGGAGCTAAATTCTTCACCTCAGGGGGTCCAGCAAGTCCTCGACTTCAAAATCATGGTTTTCACGTAGACTAAGTCTACACTACCACTTTACTGTCCTGCAACTTTCTGGCTCAGGTGTGACACAGGCACTCCAGTACAGCAAGTTACCGCTGGGCTCCGCTCCTGGACATGGTTTACATTAGGAATGTAAAATCCCAAGCAGGGGCGGCCCTAGACCAGCTGCCAGCAACTGGTGCCCTAGGCAAACAATGCAATCGGCTCCCTCCCCCACCCCAAGGGCAGATATCAACTGAGGGTTGTGATTCTGTGCTGGGGAGAAGAGGGCTGGGGGTGGAGTTCTATTGGCTGGGGGCTGAGGATGGAGTTCTGTGGCTGGGGGCCAGGGGGTGTGGGCTGAGAGCCAGAGGAGTGGGGATGGAGTTGGAGTTCTGGGGCTGGTGGCCAAGGGGCTGAGGGCCTGGGGATGGAGTTATGTGCCTGGTGACTGAGGGGCTGGGGATGGATTTCTGGGGCTGGGGGCCAGGGGGGTGGGGGTGGACGTGG